CATCACATTATGAAATCGCATGTGTCAAATATTAAAGAAATCATGAGAAATGTACACTGAGACGGCGCAGAAAGCATAAAAAAGAGCAGTGGCAAGAGCTGACTCTTTCTTGTTCGCCTTGATCAGCTGCTTGGCCATCTCCCTCTCCCGTTCCATCTGCTTCTCGTTTCGCCTCATATACTGCTTCATCTTGTCGCGCTGCGTTTTTAATTGCTGAAATTCAGAAAAACGATAAAAGGCGCTAGCCGAATTAATGAAGACTAGCATTTCCCAGGGAAATGGGCTCAGTGTGAAGAACAACCAATGATGCAGAGTTTTGAGGTATGTTTGGTGTTGAAATAAAGCAGGTAGAATATATACGAGGTCCAGTTGTGGTAATGGTAAGAAATGTATAAGACTTAATGAACCGAAACATTTCTTACCTAATTTATTACTTCTTCTTTTTACATCTTTCCCTTTTTTACTCTTTTTTTGACCTTTTCTATCATCCACTTCTACATTTTCTAACAAAATTTTTACTTAACCTTAAATAGAAAATATACAGCGACAGAAATGCACAGCAGATACGTCAAAATGTGCTGGTATTCGTGAATTTTTCAAATTCTCTTTTAATTTCGCTATTTTCAACTTCCCAGAGTAACATAGCATACAAGTTTCTATCCCTCCCCATCACTTTCTTCATGGACTCGAAAAAAATAAGAAAAAAGTGAAGAAACAATAAGAAAATGAATAAAAATTTGTGGTCAAAAAAAGAAAACTATAAAAGATGCTAGATCTCCGGAGCACTTTCGTTATCATCCTGCGTAGCAGTAAGCCTGGAATCATAGCCTTTCAATACTAAGTGACAAATAAAAAAAAATAATAATAATAATAACACTGTAATTCAGTTAAATCTGCAACTGGCTTACCAAAATGGCCTGGTCGCGTTCCGATACGGGCGGATGTGACGGGCGACGTTTCCCGAACAAATTACCCATAATAACAATAATAACAGTGATGACGACGATAACGATGATGATGAAAATGGTGACGATGACAGATCACTCTTTCATCACAGCCTGAAAATCAGCCAAAATCGTCATGGTTTTCATAGCCAAATAGGCAGGTATCTCTCCTTGCCATAAGGTAGTTATCCAGGGTAAGTGTTATCCGTCCCTCGTATTCAGATCCAGAAAACTATGCTGCCCGTTGTGCACCGGCTGGAGAACACACCATCATGGATGCATGGCCGTCCTTGAGTCGAGTTGCCTCGAAAAAAGCAAAATCTCCCCTCCTGTATCTTCCTGGGACCCCCTCACCTACGATGTGCTAAAAGAACATGGGCATACAAGAACGATCCAGAACCCGAATATTCGGAATGTACAGGATGCGAGAAACACAATACCGTAGTTGCAGGGATATTTCCAGTTAAACAGAAGTGTGGATGAGCTGTTACAGGAACCCAGGACAGAAGTAAGTCCTTTAAAGTCCCAAAATTCCCTCTCACCGCTCTTAGATTATGTAATTGCAAGAGCAAAGAGAAATTTTTTTTTTATTGTAAAATTCGGCTCGGCTCGGCCGCACAGTATGAAAGGGGCGAAAATGCGCTCGCCGTGTATTTGAGTGAGAGTTGCGGAAAACATAATAGCAGAAAAGTGGCGGA